TCAGAGAACAAACATTTCCTGAGTGGCCTTTGCTGACACCCCTTGATTTACCCAAACTAGATGTGGATGACCTTCTGCTGAGCTTTCACAACCTTTGCTCCCCTGTGTGAAGTACTTCCCCATGAACTGAGGCTCAGGGCAGGGCCTCATCCCTGCAGCTTCTCACCCCTCTGCCATGCAGTGCCTAGCATGTATTCAGTACCTACTGAACACAGTAATTCACTATTGTTATTCCTAACATTTCAAGGCTTCATCCTCTATCCCCTGAGCTTTAAAGGATCATGCCTTGAGCTTAGAAGAAAGCAAAGGCCATCAAGCCTCACTCACTACACATCTCATATCCTCATTACAGAGCCTCTTGGGTAGTCAGAGACAGGAAGCCCACCACCTCCCAAGACATTCCAGCTGAAACTGTCTAAGAGTTCTTCCTCTAGTTCGATCAAAATCTTTCACTGCTGTGAAAAGGGCAGAGCCAAGGAAAGAGTTCTTCTAAATTTTACCTCATTAGAGAACTCCCTCCAAAGTGACATCCAATCTACCCTTCAACAGTTCCAAAGTGTAAATCTACACCCTAGTGTCAGCAGCACAGCCAGGTAGGCTCTACTGATCAGCGGCTAAAGGCACACCAAGGAGACAGGCACAGAAGTATGGCTCTACCTTGCCAGCTCTGCAGCACTGAGCAAGTTACTCGGCCTCTGCAAACTAGTTTTTGCATCTGTCAAATGAAGATAAACTGGTACCTTAGTCCATAGGGCTTTTATGAGGATTAACCTATAGACCATGTTAGTGAAGGATCTTAGTCTAAAGTGTCAGAAATATGCCTGGAACAAGTTCAGCAAAAAGGAGGATTATCTGGCTTTTGTGTTAGCTGGACCTCAAGGATAATAAAACCCATAGACTTAAACATCAGCATACTCCCCTGGAATTCCTCATACTCTGAGATGGGTTTTCTGGAATTGTGGCCTCTGGCAGCAGGACCAAAAGAGAATGCTTTCCCTTAGTACCAACCTGAAAACATCCAGAGGCACGTGCTTGGTACGTCGGGGGTATTATGACCCTTGTTGGCCACACCAAGTGTGAGTGTTGGATTACAACTGGTCAAAAGAGGGAGGATACATTTTTTGGGAAGATAGTAGAAGGATTCCCAGATGGACAATATAATAGAATGGTCATTCAATTTTATCTATATTATAATTATCTCATCTAGTGGTTTCCAGTTTAGAACCAGGTATGCACAAAAACAATATAGCAGGCCAATATAGAGTTTTTAATCTGGTATTCTGCCAACTTAAAATTTTTTGAAGTCACAGCTACTATCATATTTCACAAAAGGATATACCTAGGTGAAAGAAGTTAGAAAGACATAATCTCAGAATAAAGGACAACCATTAACTCGTTTTGTTTTATGAAAGAAGGCTGCATTCTCTGTAACTTTCTCATTTTGATTAAGGTCTGGCAAAACCATCACCCAGCTCTGATGCCTGGGCCTGTTTGGAATTTGGAAACCACTGGTCCATGTCACAATCTGCTCCCAATCCACAGGCAGCCTCAAGCCCACTCGGGGCCCTAGGTGATCAAGGCACACCACACCTCCAGCACAGTCCCCATCTACACAGAACCTGGCACTCAGGGCATGCTCACAAGTTACCAAAAAAGATTCGAGCATAGTCTGGCATTACATGGTTTTATCTATGCTGGAACATAAACATGGCACATGCACACATACACACTTTAAAATTCATGTTCTCTTTTCACAAAGTATTGGAGTACTTTTACATATATAAATGCAGTCAATAAAAGACCAAGATTCTGCCGGGCATGGTGGTGCATGCCTGTAATCCCAGCACTTGGGAGGCTGAGGCAGGAGGATCACTCTGAGTTGGAGACCAGCCTGGGCTACATAGTGAGTTCCAGGTCAGTCTCAACTACATAGTGAGACCCTGTCTCAAAAAACCACAACAACAACAAAAACAAAACAAAACACCAAGACTCTTACAAAATGTGCTGATGAAGAGAAAGGACACTTTTTTCTTTCTTTCTTGGTACCAGGGATAAAACTCAGGACCTTATGCTTGCATGGCAATTTTTTTTTTTTAGGCAGGGTTTATATAGTCCAGTCGGAACTCGAACTCACTGTATAGCCCAGGCTGCCTCCCAAGAGCTGGGATTATAGGTATGCACTACCACACCTGGTAGAGAAAGAATATTTTGACAAAAGTACTTTATTTCAGTTATATACTCAAATATAATTCTCTTAGGATGTCTGAAGTGAATTAAGGCCTTCTCTTCTAAATCTGGGAATTGCTCTCGCTGTGTATAGACATGTGATGAAGGCAGAGTTTAAGCAGGTGGTCTGAGAGATGCTTTCACTCAGTCATTCACTCAATAAATACCTCGGGGCCTATCATATTTCAGGTACTATGTTAGACAACAGGACCACAAAGATGAATTACAGAACTTTCACAAACCAGAAAAACTGAAAATCACTAGCATATACCACAATCTAAATTAAATTACTGGTCATTTTCTTCAATTTTCCTTACTTAATAAAAGATGAGAATCATTTAAAATTTAGCCTTGTTAAGTTCTAACAGAGCACATAGTGACTGCACACAAATAAACAATTGATTTTGTATTCCAATTTTCATCTGCTTATTGAATTAGAAGTTCAAACTTCGGGCAACTGAAGTAGGATATCCTTGGAAGCAAGGCATTGCGCCAAAGCACAGCATGCAATACTATATCTCTGAACAATTACTTCTTGTTCTGTGTGCCTGGGTAAAGCCACAGGTGACAAGGCCAATTTTTCTCTTTCTAATTGCAGCAAAGCCTAGAACTATATTATTCAATCCCTTTTGGTAAAAGTGGTATCCTAGCCTAGGTCTTTATGATTTTTTGTTTGTTTGTTTGTGGTGCTGGGGATCAAACCCAGGGCCTGCATATGCTAAGAAAGCAGTCTACCAAGACACTAGACCCCCAGTCACTCTAGTCTAGGTCTGTAGGTCACTAACACTTCAGTTACTTTCACTTGTCTTCCAGATTTCATGGGTAGAATACGAGGCTGCAGGGCAAGAAGGGGCAACAAAGGTTCTACTGGTGACATAATGTGACAAGAGAGGTAAAACAGGAAGTAAAGACTACAATGGGTCAGACAGACAGAACATAACCAGGGAAGTACAGGAAGGCCAGAAGGAGAAGGTAATAATAGAGTAAGTCAGGAAGGGGACGAAACACACTATAATTCAGATCAGATCAGCGTTCTGTGACGTTGTCAGGAACAAACAAATGCTGGATGACAGAACTGTGACGTAGACATGCACATACTTTAGCTGTAAAGCTAACACGGGTCGGAGAGCTCTTAAATGGCCAGCTAAAAGAAGATTCACATTACCTGCTACTAGTGTTTGTAGTACAAGTAAAGCACTCCAAGTCAGGAACTGGATTTAAAATCCGCCCTAGGAACTCTGACTTTAGGGGAAAGGTTTAGCGTTTCACAATTTTCAAGAGATAAACCTTTACCAAGGAAATTCTTCAAGCTTACTGATAATTAGTAACACTTTTCAGAAACATCTTTTAAATTTAAAAGCTAGTGTTAAAATATCAAGAGCTAGCATTTGCAGCTGAGGCAGTGTTATGAGTGTCAAAGCCGAGTGTCAGGAGGAGGGAACGAATGCCTAAGAAACAGGCTTGTCAAATTAAAGAAAGCCAAAGTTCAACAGCCCACAGGCACTAATATTCGCTCTGCTGTCTTTAAAATGCACAGAGTGGGAGTGACTAAAACAGTGCACACATAGGGAGCAAGGACTACTTGGTAATTCTACTGTCCACCCTGAGGAAAAATACAAAGAATTAACTAGTACACACTATTTGGGTGGAAAATTTTAACATTATAAAAGATAAATATATCTTAACTCCCATAATAAAGTTTAAAAAAAAACCTTGTCCTATCCAAAGGCTGACTTTTTACTGTTTGTCCCTATTTTAAAAATAAATACATAATTAAGTTTCTAAATTTGTTCAGTTACTAACTTTAAAGTTCTAACTATTTCACTAAATTTGGCTTTAATTACTCTGCTGTTTTTAAATGTTGATGGTAGCCACATAAACTTGTACTTGATTATATTTCAGCTTTTTTAACATTCCAGATTTAAAATAGGCTTTCTAACATAGCCACTCCCCCCATAATCATATTAAACAAATGACTCTTCCTAATTGTTACACATTTCAAAATACTAATCAAATGATATTTTTTGTATTCTCTCAAGGGAAACTCCTATCAGCAACCCTTACTTCTGCATCTCTGAGGTCCTCTAAGGTAAATTTTATTCTCATGAACAGTGATTCTCAAACTGGGGGAGATTTTTGTCTCCTTGAGGTCTGTGCATGTATGTACACAAAAAGGTGTGGCAATGCCTGGAGATATTTTGGTTGAGGCAACTAGGCTGCAAGGTATGCAATACCACTGGCATCTAAAAGGCAGGGGATGCGGATGCTGTCAAATTGAGAAGAGCCCCTCACAACGTAGAATTATCCAGCCCAAAGTGTCCCTTGTGCCTCTGCTGGGAAAATCCTGTTCTGAACTTAAACGAGCAAATTTGCAAATAGAGCTGACACACTCAAAAAACAATTGCTAAGTATGTAATTCAAAGTTCACTAAGCCTTGTGATTAGCAGAAACTCCGACATAAAAGTTGCTTCCCATACCATCAAAACACATTAAAAGGAACTTTCACTACCCAAGCAATTAATGATATACTTTCTTCAAAAAGAACATTTCGGAAGAAAAAAAGAAAAACTAGTGATATTCTTGTCAGTTTTCTATGCTTTAAACTTTCAGGGATAAGCACTAATCATCTCTAACCAAGTCCTTCCTCTCAGTTATTAGATTTTTAACTGGCGAGTTTAAACGAAAGAGAAATGTTACGTACTTGATACTAATCGGTAAAATAATCTTAGACCAAAATATATTACTAAGGCATCTATCATAACTTTAATGATTACCTGGCAAAAGAACTGGCTCCAGTTTTTTAATCTTCGGTTCCGAATTGATCTTATCGTCAGTCTGAAATACATTAACAAATTAAAAGAAAACCCAGATTCCCCTCTCATCAGTACTAAGTGATGACACTCGGGACAGACACATATCTCCCTACTAGAAACTTTTATGTTTTAATCACGTCTTAACCGAGTTCTTTTTAAAATCTGTTCCTTACTGACCTGGAAACCTGACAAAAATATCCAGTCTGTGCCGCTTCCAAGTGTCCCCGTTTGTGACAGACAAGTTACCCTCTCCACCAGATGCCCACAGACGCAGCAATCACGCTGGCGGTCGCGGCGGGGACCATCGCCCTGCTAGGAACTAAATACAACAAACCCAGCTCCGAACTCTCATGGGGCTCTCGCACGGCAAAGCTAAGGACAAGTCTACTTCGGGCAAAGAATGGCTGCGGCAGAGTTTTTACAAGTTTGAACTAAACAAGCAGCGGCTCCGGGGGGCTGGGGGCGCCGCGTCCGGGGACTGCCCGGAAGCGCCAGGAGAGGGGCGCTCTCAACCAGGGGTGTTTACCTGGGCCGGCGGCAGGAGGTAGGACCTGAAGGAGGGTCTGGGCGGCTTCAGCGAGAACATGACGCCACTGCCCTTTCGCTCCGACCCGGTCGCGGGCCAGCAGCAGCGCCGTCGCCCCCGGGCTTGGAGTTCCCCTTACGGCGGCCCAGGCCCGGTTTGCGGCC